AGAAACATAACCCACAGCAGCTTTTGCGTCACGAAATAGCTGTCAAACAGCGGCCCCTAAAATCAGAGGTGCCGCATGTGTTCTGCTCCTCAGCTGAAGCCTCCTGTTCTCGCAGTGACGGCTGAAGCCAGAAAGAGAAAACGAATAGGAGCATCGGCTAACTGGGCCCCAACTTCTGCCTTCGTGGACACCTTGACTCTGCCCATGGCTGGAGAGACTTCTCAGCAGCCAAATTAAGTCCTTTAGCAGGTTTCTGCTCATGACCAGGACCCTACAGGGTAGGGAAGACTTTAGTCTAGGGGTTGAACTAGTGCTGGTTGTTCAAATAGAGCTCATGAGTGTGAGAAGTGCCGGTACGGTCATCTTAAATACAGGATCTGAAGAGAAAAGTTGAGTAAGGATTAGGAAATCCTGGGCGGGGAATCAGCATCGCAGCAAAGTGTGGAGCACCTAAGGGGAGAGGGGCTGCGCTGCCCTCAAAGGGGGCAAGAAGGGCCAGAAATGGTTTCAATGCCGCCTGACAGCCCAGGGGTGGGTACCAGCCCCCCCGCCTACAGCTCTCCAGGGGCTCCTCGCTGCCAAGGCTGCTGCTAACTGCAGCGTAGGTGCTGGGTCAGCCCTCCACCAGACACCCCCGGGAGCTGGAGCCTGGCACAGCCAGTCCCACCCGCGCCACTGCCTGGACTACTGTGGCTCTGCGTGGGCTGGGGGATGCGTCTCGTTCCTGTGGATGGTAAATCTGTTCCTGCTGGGTTACAGGCCTGACTCCAGCCCTCCCCGCTAGCCCTGCTCCATGCGATACGTCTTCCTGGGCCATACCGCGTGGCCACATAGCTGTGTCCTCCCATGGCCATGGGGACCATCACCCCTTCGTGGCAGGGGCACTTCCCACAGGGTGGGTTCCCTTCTCCCTGGGGCTCCAGCAGTTCTCAGCCAGGTACCAAGTTTAGATACTCCGGATCCGGGCTGGGTGCGGGTCCTCAGCCCAGAGGGGAGTGAAAGGCTCTTTATCCCACCGCTCCTTCATAGGTTTGTTTGATCCCTCCCGTAAGTTTTTTCCGGTGCCTCAGGTTTCACACTGCCTGTGCCTTCTGCCTGGTCATGCCACGGTTTTAAACCTGAATAGGGTATTTATCTAAACATATCCGAATATATCCCTGTAATTCCTTGTGAGTTCTGGGGGCAGTGAGTGATCCAGGATACTTTTCTGACTTGTGCAAAGGTAAAAATGATGAAACTGTAATTCGGTGTTGTCCTTTAGGTCAAGCCAAACTGGGAGGGTACGCGTGGGTTAGTGTCTGGGATTCCTCTGGTCCTTGAAGCCGGGCGCCGTGAGTCATGTAGCCCGGCTGTACCTCCTGCTCGCCATGGCTCCTGGATGCCTTCACGCTTGGTTTTCCAAGAGGAGCAAAGAGGCAAAATTATATTAATAAGAGCCTTGATGCTTAACCGAGCTAGGGGATGCTGAGGAGAGGTGGGTACTGATTCTTCTGGAAAGTGGCTAAATACGGAGGAATATTTTAAATGCTGTATTTATTCAGGCAGTAATGACACGCTGCTTTTTTGGAGAGGTGCATTTTGTCAAAAGCAAGTGTTCTGTTCCCTGTTCCCAATGTTGTGTGGTGTGCGGTGGCATTTCCTCCTCCCCTGTACTTTTCTTATTTTGGCTAATTAAACTAGAACAGTCAATTCCAATTCTTTTTTTTATTTTTCATTTCACTGCTGTGCTGATTTACTTCAGTTTATTTAGTGTTTTAAAATGGCTTCTATTTAAATTTGGAAGGGAAGAAAAATAAATCTGCTAAATATATTTCTATTCAGATCATATGTTGTGGCTTTTCTCTTTTTGAAGAATGAGGTCTAATTTTTGAACCTGAATTCACTTGGCGCTACTCTTGGCTTCAGCAATGTTGGGTTTCCTTTTGTTTTAAACTAATTCCCTTTTTCCTACTGCCGAACTCCATTTATGTCTCCATGCGAGAAAAGCTTTTATACATGTGTTTGGTTTGAAAGTGTTCAACTGAGCAAAGTTAAGAATGTGTCAACTATTTGAGGATGGGGCTCTAGGTGTGTTTTACGGTGGTCCTTGGTGCAGTGCTGCGGACCTGAAGCACTGCCAGTCCCTTCCAGCCACCCGTAGGCATCCCCTTGGCATTCGCCTTTGCAAAAAGATGCAGCACATCTTTTTGCTTTCTTCTCCGTCCCTGGCTCGGGGAAGCCGGGGCCTTCCTCTTTTCTGGGTAGAGCAGAGGGGTTTTTTTGGAGGGAAGGAAGGTTACTCAATACTTGCTGCTTTTGGAAGAGAGAAAAGGTAGAAAAGAGCAGGAGGATACAAGGTGCGTTCAGCAGCACAGGAATTTCCACGTGCTTCTTTGCGAAGGTTTGGTTGTTTTTTTTTTAAATAGTTTAAAGCTTTATCTTAAATGCTTAGGCTTGGCTAGAATATGTTTCTTCAGTGAGGAGTGCGTGACTGAGAAACACGGAAAAAACAGCTGGGGAAAAAATAGCTAAGAAAAATAGAGATTTTGTGTGATTTCTGACAAGCTATGTGACTGCCTTTGGTCCCTAAAGTCCCGATCCTCAAAGCTGATCTGGATGGGTCATCTAAGCTCCTGGGCCTACAGAGGGATTTGAGACAGGTTTGTGTGTGCATAGGGGTTTCTTACGAGTATCTGGATGTGTAACTTAGCTGTACTCCTCTGAAAAGGTTTTCTTGAGGAAAGTGGGCTGTGAGGCTGTTAGTTATCTGCCCCAGTCATAACACTGCTTGTTTCACATTTTTTGTTATTGTTACTTAAAGCTTCCTCTGTTGCAGCAAGCAAGGAAGCAAAATGCAGACACTTTAGAGCAAAGGTATGCATAAAATCTTATACCTATAGAAACTGGGAGATGCAAAACCGCAAGTCAAATATATGTATTAAAGGAAAGAAGTCCTTAGCATGCATGGTAACAGAAGACGTCATATGTACGGGAGATCTGATTTATGGTGGAAACCTTAATTTTTGGCCGCATTCTGAGGTCAGTTTTTTGAGTAAAACCTGCTTTGCTGAGTCAGGCCAGTGGGTCCTTGAATTTTCTGCTCTGAGCGTAACATCATTCCCCTCTACCTTCAAGTTCAGGTACTTGGTGGGTTGATGTCGATCCTATTTGCGGCTGTATTCATTCCATGGGGGAGCATTTAAGTTCAGTGCCCATATCCAGGTTTGAGTTGCTGTAGTTCTGCCTGGTCCTTCCCCCTGTCTCAGGGGATGATGCGGCCCCTGCCTTTGTGGAGCGAGACCCTGGGGTGGCTCAGCTTTGATGCCCAGACCCGTGCTGGATGCTCAGCACCTCTCAGGACTTGTCCTTCACCCCGTAGACCTCACAACCCGAGGACCTGCAGCCTGTCCACCCCGGAGCAGCACCGACCGTGCCAGCTCTTCACTTGCAGCTCCATCCCTTGCTGCTGGGGTGCCCGGGGTGCCCCCCTGCCTCCCCCCGCCTGCAGAGCAGCCCTGCTCCTGCCCCTCGGAGGCTGGATCTCTGCTCATTAGCCGATGTTTGCTGAAATCGGATACCTGGGGCACCCCAGCCAGCCGGCGGAGTCCCCTGGCTGCAGCTATTTAAAAGGACAAGGGCAGCCTTATAATTTCCACCTCTTTCACATCCATGTCCCTCCCAGCGCCCGGTCCCCACCTCTCTTCTCTCCTGGATCCCTGCAGCATCCATGCCCCAAGAGCGGAGCGACGGCCCGAGGGGGACCTGCCCGCGCCCGGCCCGGGGCGGGATTACCGGCTGAGCCCGGGGGCACCTCGGGCTTGCCAGAAAGCCTTGGCTCGCCCAGGGCCAGCGAGCCCGGCAGGCACTCCTGGGCTGCCAGCGCAGGAGACACCTTGAGAGCGAAGGGCAAGGAGGGAGGAAGGAGGCTTGGGGGACTTTTAATCTTTTTATTTTTTTTTCTCCTTTTGCCTTTTTTTTTTTTAATTATTATTATTATTACTTTATAAGAAGTAGAAATTGCCGCACCGTAAGCTGCTGGGACAAATGAATGCCAACGCGTGCGAGGCTGCGAGGAGACGGTGCACAGCCTCTCGCCTCGCTGCAAAGTAAGTGCCCGAAGGCAGAGATGCTGTGGGGAGGGGAAGGGAGCGGGGCCCGGGGGGCACCCAGGGGTGCAGGGAGGAGGTGGGAGCGCTCGGTGTGGTGGGCTGCTCTCACCTGCCTCAGGCAATCCCATAGAGCTGAAGGGTTTGCTGCGTCCTGGTGTGGACAAGAGGGACCTGCCTGTCACCCTGGGGGGTGCGCGGTGGCTGGGTCCCGGCTCGGTGGGACGCTGGGAGAGGAAGGGGCACAGGGATGCAGGGTTTATCCACATGCAGAAGTCCCCTCTCCCCCGGGGGAGGTGGCAAAGTGGATTTGGGATTGGACCTTGCGTAAGAAAACTCATTCCCCTCTCCCTGCGCTCCTGGGGTCCAGCTTCCATCACGTGGTGGTGGGAGGAGAAGGGGGGTCTGGGGATGCCCCACACCCAATCCCCTGTGTCCCCCCCTTCCCGTGGAAGCGGAGCAAGGCGAGGAGGGGCGGGGGGGGCTTCTCCTGCGAGCCTGAGCCCCCTCCACATGCTCCCCGCAGCCCCCGCCAAGCACTGAGCGCAGGGAAAAGCCGTGTCAGGTACCTTATAATGCAGGTCCTTTGCCAGCCCATGGTGAGGTGGGTCAAAGCCAGTTTGGGCAAGTGGGCTCGTGGCCCCCCGGGCAGTTGAGTGCAGAGGAGCAGCGATCTCGGTCAGTGGCCTCCCCCGGACCAGGGGCCTGTGCGTTTCCTCCAGGGAGCCTGGAAGGGGTCTTTGATTGCCTCTCGGCAGCTCTTCTGGCCGAAAGAGTTTCTTTTTTTAATTATTTATTTACTTTGTATTATTTTTTGTAAGTGCTTCGGTATTACAGAGGAGGGCAGCAGAGAGAGGCAGCAGGAACATCCTTAAATAATTTTCATTTCTCAAAATCTGCCTTTTCCTCTTCTCTCTAAGTCCAGAGGAGAGATCCTTGGGGGGGCGGGAGGCACATCTGCACTGCAAATAAAAATAATAATTACAACCACCAACCAACCAACCAAAAAAAAAAAAGTAACAGCTAAGAAAAAAAAAACACTTTAAATCAAGGACTTTGGAAACCAGAGATCACAGAAATTGTACTATTAATAAGGAGGAGGAAAAAAAAAAAAAAGAGGCAAGAAATCCAGCGACCATGGGCCAGCCTGGCTTCCTAGCGTGTACTTTCTGTTCTCTCTCCTTTTTCCCAAGGTAATTGCAGTCTGCCGAGAGGGAGTTAAATGGGATTAAAAGATCTGTGTAAGCAAAAGGACCCAGAAGAGAAGGAGGAAGGAGTGAGCCGTCCGGGCCAGGGGGTGTCTTTGACACAGCTGAGCCCCTTAGAGAGGCAGAGAGCTGAGCTCCTGGGAAAGATGTACCCACAAACCGGCCTGTCCCCCTTTTTCTGATGGATTGCCGCAAAAATTGCCCGAAAGAGACAATGCACTAAACGTGATGGAGCCGGAATCAGAGCCGGTCTCCAGACTCAGAGCTACAGCAGCAGGCAGGGGGTGAGTACAAACTCCGACTTCTCCCGGCGCCGGTGGAAGGGGTATCCCGGGCGGGGATGGGGGTGCCCGGGGAACCGGGGGATCCCGGGAGGGCTGCGGGGAGGGGAGCTCCGCTCCCGGGTGGCTGGGGATGGCGTGGGGGGGGGTGTGTGTGGGGAGGAAGACATTCCTTCTGCCAGGGGACGATGTGAAAACTCCCGGGCTGGAGAGGAGAATGGGCTGGGAGAGAAAGAGA